TTATGATTTTGTTGCATGTGAGCTACACCTTGGCTTTTATGTAATGCATTTGGATAAAAACTATCATAATGGGTTTCTATTGATTCCTCCCCATGAGATATTTTTATGAMTTTGCACTGTTGTTAAGATAGTATAATAACTATCAATAATAATGGCCATTATTAACCATTTTAATAATGGAAGGGGGGGTTTGATTTGAGTCTGAGAGCATCCACTTTGTGCAGAAAAACATGTCAGATGTTAACTCTATGGTCAGTATTTAACCCCTTCCAAGACCCTGGAGACCTTAACACTAACWGTGCGTAATAACCATTTATATTATTGTCATTGTAATAAAATTATATTTGATTAATATTTAAATTGACATAAAAATGGTATAGAGATGGATAGGATTGGAGTAGTCGATACATGATCAACCCAGAGGGTCCCTTGTTTAATGGGTACTTTGAAGTTATCATATCTTCACTTGGATAAACAAGAAATATTATTCAGAGAAAATCTTAATTGATTAAGATTAAAATTTTTTATTTTTTTTTAATTATATAAACTTTTAAGATTCAACAATACATCCCATCAGATATACCATATTATATTGACAAGCTCCCAAATTTTTGAGATTTTGACTATTTTGAATTTTTTAATAAAACTCTAGAAATCAGCAAACAGTTACATCTTTTAAATACCAAATATCAATCTAACAGACATTTTAAGTTTTGACAAAAATGGTGCTGGCTTGTTACTTAGAATCCTCCAGAAATTAATGGCATTAGGTACCCGAGATCCGGGAACTAGTTATGACAACAAGGCTATGACACGACAGTCATATCAGAGATTCAGAGAGCTCACAGATACGGTCACGAAATGAAATTAATTATCTTTAGTTAAGTGGATAAGTTATTAATGGCTAAGAGCCTAAGACAGTGCTTTGATGGAATTTTTTGACTTGGCTTATTTCCTCTTCATCCCTCTTTTTTGACATGCCTGATTGCTTCATCTTAAAGTGTGATTTATGTTGTGGTTGATAATGGTAATTATATTATTAATGAACTTTGAAGTTGTGTATAATATGTTTATATTTCTGTGGGCCCAGAAACCCATTAAATTGACTTGGCATCCCAAAGGTAACCCTATGAAACTATCTCAACTACCATCAAAAGACCCAACACTTTGGCTCAGTTTGAAAGGAGTACAAATGCAAATACAAAACCTTAGCACTATTTTGTATGTATTTATATAGTATATATTTGCATTTGTACTCTTCCAAACTCAGCCTTTGGAGACTGAAGATAGCCTTCCAATGACTGACTGACAGCCCATTTGGGTTCTCTGGATTTTTCACCAAATATAACTTATAAACTGTTCATGTAGGATTCACCTTAAAAAGTCAGAAGTTATTCCTCTTCAGCCCTTCTAAATGGGTACATAATTAATGGCTGAAGTGGCTGAACTGAATGATTTATTACCTTATCTTTGATGATAAGATAGTTGTAGAACGAAATATTTAGGGGTATAATAGTCAGCCTAACATGACATTAAGCCAAAATAAGCCATTCAGTTTTCTTCATTTTAACTATTACCAAACAGGCCTTAGACTTCTTATCCCTTTTATTGGGCCCGCTAACCTTATAATATTTCCCACCTATTTGGAAGTGTTACCACCGAAGTGTAGAGAAATCTTATTTGAAAAAGTGCTTCAAAATAATATATTAGCTTGTCTTTGGGTAGCAAAGATATAAAAAGAATTTTTTCTTTTTCTTTTTTCTTTGGTTTCTTCTTTTTGGAGTTTCAGCCTTGAACCCAAAACTTTAGTTTTGAAATTCAGGTTAATCAACAGAAATGACCGAAATTTCAGATCTATGTTTCCTCTTAGGCAGTCAGATGTTGCATTGTTAGGGCCCTCAAGGAACCAATACCCTAAASGGGGGCTGTCAAGAGGAGGTTAAAGTGATAAAAACAGCCTTTTTACCATTGGTTTTAAGTCTTAACAATTTAAGGGTATCACATCAGAACCTTTTATTGTGAGATGAAGGTAGGCTAATTGGCTAATTGAACACAATCCCACTACGGTTAGGGAAATTAGGGCAATAGAAGCAGCCCTTAACTGTAGGGGTGTCAATTGGATTGGATTTGGTCCAATTCGATCCAATCCAATGTGAGTTCATTACAAATGGACCAGGTTCAATCCAATCCAATGAATATTTTGGACTTTTTTGGATTGATCAAATTCAATGTTTGGATCATTCAATATTTAAATTTGTTTTAATTTAGATTGATTTCAATCCAAATCCGGTCTATTGACACCTATATTAATTCTTATCTTATATTAATGGACCAGATATTGACTAAATTCAATCCAATCAAATCCAATATAAATTTATTATGGATGGACCAGGTCTAATCCAATCTAATAAATATTTTGGACTGGTTTGGTCTAATCCAATATGTCTTATTGGTCCATCCAATCCGCCCAAATTGATTAACCGGTCCATTGACACCCTTATTTGACTGGTTATCAAACCCTTCAGTCTATAGGATATGAAAAATTGGCAGTTTGATGAGATGATTGTACAAGAGGGGATGAACAACAGTTAAAGTTCTAAAGTCTAAATAAATAAATCCCTTTCCAAAGGATTCCTCCCCCCTTAGTCCTGTGATTTATCAGGCAAATTGAGTAATCTTTCCATTGTGATAGCCTCACCATCCGGGAGGCTTTCATTCTTAAGCCTTCTCAAGAATGATATCACTTTCAACCTCTACTTCAGAAATACCATTATTGAGGCAGAGAGACAAACCATCATGAAGAGCCAAGCATTAAACCTCTATTTGACTATTAGTTGAAAATCACTTATAATTAGCATAACAGATACCCTTTATTTACTGTTTTTATAAAAGAAAATACTGTTAATTGTATTTATTTTTCTTTGTTAGACATGTATTTCATTTATCAAAGAAAAAGCATTTCCCCGAGTCAAGAATCGTCAAGTCTATAAATTAACAGATACAAATGTAAGTAATATATTGTAAGGTTCAAAATTTCGTCACGTATCAGAGTGTATCAATTGATACATATCGTATCGGACCCCTCCAATATGCTTCTACAGTGTTTCGGGTACCACCTATTTCAGGGGGTAGATGGGCTTTAAACCAACCCCCCTGAACAAGTTTCAAAGAAAAACATTAAAAAAAAAAAAAAAAAAAGAAGAGCGAGCCAAGATACAGTCCGATATGCCCTTACTGATGTATCGGGCTGTATCGATATTTTGAACCTAGATATGTTGTCAAAATAATTCATCTCTAAAGAAATAATAAAAATTATTAAAAATTTCATCCTAACTATAAAATTGGTTTATTCGACTGAGTAGAATTGCTCAAATTTGGATGAGTCAACTTGATTTCTAGCTAGTTATAGAAGAACAAGTCCCCTAGCTATAAAATTGAGTGTGCATGTATAATTCCCATCTTGCCCATGGTTTTAATGTCGTTGAAATTTCATGAAGATTTTTTTTTTCTTTTGGTTTGGTGAGTGAAATTAAATTAATCAACTCTTAGATCGAAAAGAATTTAAATGAAAATTAGTTTCAAAATTCAATACATTCTTATAATAACTTCAACCCAATTTGTAAATAGTTTATAAAATTTAGAAAAAGAAACAAAATGTACATAACTTTAAGTTAAATAGGGTATGTATAGAAGAAATAATATAACCACATATTAGTTTTTAATGTTTGTTCATGTGTGTGTAATGAATTTAAATTTAATTGCAATATTTGGAATTAAAATGCCGATATTTCATACAACTAAAATCCATAATTTCATGGTAAGAGGGTTTAATTTGTGATGCAAAATTTAGGGGAAATATTGAATTTCATTGACTCATGTAGGAGACAGACCTCTCAAACATTGCTTTCATAAAAATAAAAGTTTGGCTTCCTAACTTGGTAAGCTATTGATGTTTGTCTTAACCTCACCTTCTAAAGCATTATATATGACATAAACTAAAGTTGTCTTTGGGTCAAGGTTTAAAGTATCGACACGAATTAGTCTGTATCGGCTGATATGTATCGTTTTGGGATCTTTTTGATATGTCCTTATAGTGAGTGTATCAAGGGCCTGATCAGTTCAGGGGATGGAAGAGACTTAAACCGGCCCCCTTGAACCGATTTTAGAAAAAAATAAAGAAAATAGTATCGATTTGCCCGATACGCCCATACTGGCATATTGGACATATCGATATTTTAAACCTTGCTTTGGGTATATGTAAATATTTATGCTTTATCCTAATTTAGGATCCATTTGGGAGAATTGTAGATTGAGTTGCTTTGAAAAAAGCCACTAAAAGAAGCTTTAGTGAAAAGCCATTTTTGGTTGGTTGAAACGCAACGTTTTCTTGCTTTCCAAGGTAGGTCCCATATAGACAGCCTATGAGTTACATATGGTGAAAAATCTAAAGAGCTCAAATCGGAGCAAAGATTAATTGAATGCAATGGGACCCGCACGGGTCCCATATGGGCCAAAAGCTGGTTTATGAAATATTTTTTTGGCTTTAAATTGTTATGTTTTCGAAAAGCAATTCTGACCAAACACCTAAAACACATTTTAGTTAAGCTGAATTTGGAAGGAGTGTAAATGTAAATATGTAAAGTATAAAACCTTATATTTTATATTATTTTGTATGTATTTAAGCTGTACATATTTGCTTTCCAAACTGAGCCTTAATTTTTATTTCTCACAGCCCAAATTCAAAAAGTGTTATCCAAACAACACAAACACCATCAAACCAAAGATTTCATATCAACGGTCAAGGTTATTTCCCTCAAATATTCCCAACAAGTGCAATTCTAGTTGACAACGACTCCTAGCGATTCTTGAAAATTTCGCGCGTTAGCCCTACTGTGAGTGAGAAGATACTACAAGGCACAAAGGTTACCAATGTGTCTCGCGTAAATTACGAAYTAATAAGGGGCATAATCGTCAAGAAGGACATATAAAAAGGACGCAGGCAGCAGGCTCTCATAATCCGGAGCCTCCGACGTGGTGGATAACGTCAACCGTCACAAAGAGAAAGAGTACGAGAGAGAGAGAGAGAGAGAGATGGGTGTCGTCCTCTTTATCTCAGTCCTCCTTCTCGCCGTTACTTCTTCCGTTAATTCCTGCTCGCCGTCGGACCGAGCAGCTCTTCTCGCCTTCAAAGCTGCACTGAAAGAGCCTTACTTGGGTATCTTCAACTCATGGACGGGCAATGACTGCTGCAACAACTGGTACGGCGTCCACTGCGACCCAACCGACGGCCGAGTCGCTGATCTAACCCTACGCGGCGAGTCAGAAGACCCCATCTTCGAGCAAGCCGGGAGGTCCGGTTACATGACCGGAACCATCTCTCCGGCCATATGCAAGCTCGATCGCCTCACCACCCTCATTATCGCCGACTGGAAAGGAATCAGTGGTGAGATTCCCGCGTGTATCACTTCCATTCCTTACCTCCGAGTCCTCGATCTCATTGGCAACAAGCTCACCGGAAAGATTCCTTCTGATATCGGAAAGCTCCAGCACCTCACTGTCTTGAACGTTGCCGATAATCTCATCACGRGTACAATCCCACCGTCGCTAGTGAACCTCGCCGGACTAATGCATCTCGACCTCCGAAACAACCGTATCACCGGTCAGATTCCTAGCGACTTCGGCAAGCTTCAAATGCTCAGCAGAGCTCTTCTGAGCCGTAACAAGCTCTACGGCCCCATCCCGAGTTCGATCTCTACAATTTACCGACTCGCCGACTTAGATCTGTCCATGAACCAGATCTCCGGCACCATTCCCGAATCTCTCGGCAAAATGCGGGTCCTATCGACCCTGAATCTAGACGGCAACAAAATATCCGGCCAGATTCCGACTAGCCTGTTGAGCGGTTCCGGTTTAAATATACTGAACTTGAGCCGAAACTCGATTGAAGGAGACATACCAGACGTTTTCGGCTCGAAAACGTACTTCACGGCGCTCGACCTGTCGTACAACAACTTGAGAGGTCCGATACCGAAATCAATAATCTCCGTGGCTTACATCGGCCACCTGGATCTCAGCTACAACCACCTATGTGGCCAGATTCCGGTGGGTTCTCCGTTCAACCATCTCGAAGCTTCGTCGTTCATCAACAACGATTGCCTCTGCGGCTCTCCTCTTCAAACCTGCTAAGTGTTTCGGCCGAAATACGGATTCGGAAGTATCGGTATCGGTCTGAAGCTGCCTCTCTCTCTGTATTATGTTTAATCTATAGTAAATTTGTAATGGATTTTTAAATTATGCCGTGATCTGGAAAACGACAAAACCAAAGAGGGTCTGCCCTGCACGTGAGAAACAGACTCAAAGACAGTAATCAGTTTATAATGAATAGTTTTTATAGTTGCCTTTTCTTTGTAATTTTTTTATTATTCAGGAATATTGTTGGAAACGAATGAAACGTCAAGGGTCTTCGTTGTAGTTTTACTTACACGAGTCGTCTTTGTACTGTTTGTTTACTAAAGTGGGGATTTTTCTATAAAAAGAAAGATTAAGAGGGGCTTTTTTTTCAATAAAAAAAAGATTGCAAACAGTGGCCATGTGGTAAAGTAATAAGTTTGAAGTGGGTTAGGGTCCGTTTGGTTTGTGGGATAGAGGTTGGGTGAAATGAGATTTCAATTCCCATTCCTTCCTGGCAAAATGGCCATGTCAGCACAATCTCATTTCAATTGATAAATAATTAAGAGTCTATTTGATACTTTGATACTGTGACTGCTCAATTAATAAACATTTTGTATCAATTTTATCTTGGAAAAAAAAAGAGAAAAATGGTTGATAAACGATTTTTGATGTTATTTGACATCTAGGAATCATAGATGTCATTAAGTGTCATATAAGCTGAACAGTAAATAAATCGCTTTGATGTGGGAGAAATATTAAAATAAAGCTTATTCTAATGGATGGCTTTCATACAAATCAAGATAAACATTTATTTAATAAATATTTTACCAAACAATATCTTAAAATAAATGACTATGTGACAATGAACCGGTATCATTTTACAAATAAATGGCAATGAAAAATGGGTGATTCTGATTTCGATTTCAGAATTCAATTCCAATTCCTATTATGATCACAAACCAAATGGACATTCAAAAAAGGCTTGTTTTAAGAAGAGATAAGCTATTGTGTTCGATCTTAACCGTGCAAGGCTTCAATCAAAAGTGAGTGGGTAGTACCCAAATAGATTTTTCGGATGGCTTTGTGTCAACTGTCAAGCCAGACAATCTCAATCACATGCTAGATTTTTCAGAGTCGGATATGGACAACCCGGAACCATCAAAAGATGTTTACCAAGAAAAAAAAAACCATCAAAAGATGGAAAAAAAAGGAAAGGAAAAAACATAAAACCTTTTCATCTGATTGCCCACATCTTACCATGTGTTTACTGTACAAAATGAATTCACATCTGCACCCCACAAGGGTGCCCCACAATGTCTCATAGCGCATTGCTGCCATGTGTTGGGAATATCTCTCAATGATAATATCAGACCCAATAATGTGATCATTAGAAGATATTCTTAATACAAGGCAGGGATGCGCTGTGGGAGATTGTGAGCGCCCCGTGGTGGGGCGCAGATCTGAACTCGTACAAAAATATCAATTCATTCGCTCCCTGGGAGATGGGGAAATAGTTCAGTGCTCAGTTTGGGTCAAGCGACGTCAAAGATATTATCACAAGTTCGACTCTCAAGGAAGATTCAGGTCCACTGTTGCTAGCTACTAAATATTGCGTACAATCATTTAGCATCGAATTACAATATGCCACGTCAGCCTAATGGTGGACCTTACGTTCACAAGGTTGGTCTAATATTACGGCCTCGTTGGGAAAACATACATAAATGTAGGGGTGGTGCAATTCTCACGGGTTGAGTCGGGTTTAGGGTTATCCCATGCCCAATCCTAAGGCTTGTTGGAAAAATGGGGTCATTGTAACTTTGGAGGAGAAGCTATGAGACGCATCTGAAGACATTGTTTTTAGAACATTATTTGCCCCCACTCAGTGAAAGAGAGAGAGAGAAAGTGGATTTCGAAAATGTGTGTTTTTGAAGTCTGATTCATGCTCCTTAAGTAGTTTATGAAGAGATATGAAGAAAATGTAGGTACTGGTTCAGAGAAGGCACCTTGAACAGTCACAAATTCAAACATTGTGACTGTTTAAAAAGTAGTTAACAATTAATGACTGTTAACTTTGAATTGTGCYTTTTGATCACACCCGATCAAATCGTGACCGTTGATCTCATCAATGATGATCAACGATTAGCATCGCACCAAAACCAAAGCCGCACACACATGCATGCACGCACGTTGCGCAGTATCAAACCCCCATACTCTCCTCTACTATTTCTAAGGAGTGTAAATCAACTCCTATTAAATTACTGAAAAACAAAACTTATAATTTTTCAATGTGGGACAAGTTCAAAACTGGGTTTTGAAAGAGAAAAGCTAATTTTTCAATCAAGTGTGTAGGTGCAATTTCTCATGTAATTGACCAATCAAACCCATTAGATTTAATCTCTTATGAGATTAAAATCCAACAAACTCTATTTAGTTTGTAGGATGGGATGTTCTCTAGTTAGTTTAAAGGGAAATAGAAGGATTAGATGAAAAAAATGTGGGATGACAGATCTCAAAATGATGGAATTGGGGCTGCACCAAAACAGTGTGACCCCGGTGGAAAAATTGAGAAACCACTATTACTTCCCCTTCCCCATTCAAACCCAGAAGCAGAGTAGCGGTGGCAGCACACCCTCTCAGCCACTCCCTTCCTCCCTCTCTCCTCTCTTCTTCTCTTTCTTCTTTCGTGTTTTGTTTTTCGCAACACTGTTCATCGTCTTCCCGACAACGAACACAGGAAATACYAGCGACAGTGACCGGAGTATACCAGCGGCGATAACCGAAGCACCCCACAACAGCGGTGACCAGAGCACTGTCATCGTCTTCGCAACACTATTACATCTTCACTTTCCGCTGACGAAATACTATTCGTCTTCCTCTTGGTGAAACAGAGCACCCCATAGCGGCTATTCGTCTCCGATCATCCTCTGTCACAGAGAAAGTGCGAAGAAGGGGGGGGGGACCACTGCACGGTGGCCAATTAAGCACTGGCAGAGGGGGGACTATCAGTGCCGGAGGATATCTTCAAAACTTCAGTCATGGAATTCTCTGTCTCTCCCTCCATCTTCCTCTTCTCTGTTCTCCCCTGTAACAGTGTTTTGCTATTACTTTCCCATATATAAAACCAAACAATGGAAAGGTAAACTTTTACACTTTCCTATCCCATCCCATCTTTTCCCATCCCACCCAAATTTTCCCGCAAACCAAACGGGAGCATAAAGCTATGTTTCATTTGAAGGAAAATGCAGGGAAAGAGAGGGAAACCTATATAACCTTTCCTGTCTTTCCCTTCCTTTCCCTATCTTTTCCTTCAAACCAAACATTGGCTAAAGGCTCAGTTTGGAAAGAGTACAAAAACAAATATGTAGAGTGCAAAACCTTATATTTTATATTATTTTGTATATATTTATACCACACATATTTGTATTTGTACTCCTTCCAAACAGAGTCAAAGGTGCAAACCTCATTATCGGGTCTTGCACAACACAAAAGATTAAGCTTAAATTTATTAATTTAGAACCCAACATCATTTGGGTTAGCTTCAGGGTTAAGCTTGGTTAGTCGAGTTGGGCAGATTTTTTTAAGCCCATTTAGGCAAAATTCATTAAGGAGAACTTAGAAAAATATAATCATCAAGAAACTCAAGGCATATCGACCAGGTATGCAACTTATGAATTTTTAAGTCATACTTAGTAAGAATATGACTAGCCTTGTTGGCACTCCAACGAATGAATTTCACTAAATCGTAGTGGAAATAATGAAGAAGAGATCTACAATTGGCAATCAATTGTTGAATTTTGGACGAAGTAGAGATAGAGTTCTCCAATAGAGCCTGAATAACAACCTTGGTGTCACCCTCAAAAACCACCAAATAGAAACTCAAGGCATATCGACTAGGTATGCAACTTATGAATTTTAAGTCATACTTAGTAAGAATATGGCTAGCCTTGTTGGCACTCCAATGAATGAATTTCACTGAATTGTAGTGGAAATAATGAAGAAGAGTTCTCCAATAGAGCCTGAATAACAACCTTGGTGTCACCCTCAATAACCACCAAATAGATACCCAAATCTAAACAAAATTTTAAACCTTCCAAAAGCCCCCAAGTTTCCACTTCCAAAGCTGACATCGGGGGGAGTCGAAGAGCTCTAGCATAACAGAAGCCCCCAAAACAATCATGAATTATAAATCCTACACCTGATGTATGAAGATTCAAGGCACCATCAAAGTTTCGCTTAAAGAAGCCCTCTAGAGGGGGTCTAGTCCAACGAGCACTTGCATGGTTCATGCCAATAGAGGGGGACTGACTCACACCAGGCATTTTGATTCTATATGTTGGAAATTTGGGCTCATGAAAACTTGGAGGAAAAGCTCTGAGGCATGCCTAAAGACACTATCTTTATAACGTTATTTGTCCCCACTAAGATTTATTGAGTTTGTTGTTGGGTTACAGGCAAATCTGTTCCCAAGATACAACAAAGCCTTGGGCAAAAGTCTACAACCAGCAAAGTTGAAGATTCTTTGAAGAAACCTTTTGTGAGATAGTAGCAGATCAAACAGAGAGAGACAAGAGCGATTTTTGAAAAGCTTGTGTGTGCATTTGCTTGATTCACGCTCCTTAAATAATTTTTGAAGAATCATGGAGCAGAGGAAGGTGCTGGTTCAGAAAAGGCTCATTGAACAGTTACAATTTCAAACATTGTAACTGTTAAAAAGGTAGTTAACAGTTAATGACCGTTAACTTTGAATAGTGCCTCTTGATCACACCTAATCAAATCGTGACCATTGAAACATCAACAGCAGCCTCGCACCAAAAGTCAAAGCCCCCCTTCGTGAGCAAAGTGCGCTTCTAAAGTGCCTCATTGCACCGCACATGTGCGCGCGCGTTGCACGGTAGCAAGTCTCCATACTCTTCTATTTAGTTCTAAGGAGTGTAAATAAACTCCTATTTAAAAAATCAAAACAAGTTTTGTAATTTTCCAATGTGGGACAAGTTGAAAACTAGTTTTTAGTAAGAGAAAAAACTATTTTCCAAGACATGTCTACATGTGTTTTTTTTTATGTAATTAATCAATCAAACCCCATTGGATCTAATCTCTAATGAGATTAAAATCCAACACTATAACTGATCTCAGAAATTTGAGCTTCCGCACTATCAACCACCTTAGGGATCTCATAACGGAGATTGTCAATTGATACCTTGCATCTTGCCTTCCACATATGCCAAAGAAAGATAGCACCTCTAGCCAAAACAAAAACCACATAAGAAAACATCATCAATCTTATTCCATTCCCCTAAGCATTGAGTCACT